GAATTCTATAAAAAATAGCGTAATTATTTTCTTTTGAATTTGAGATAGATTCGTACACAAGCATGAGGGCATCTTTCGTATATGTATATATTATTGTTACTTAATTAGAAAAATTATTTTAGTTAAACGTTTGAATTTTGATTTCAACATTGATTTAAATACTGATTTAAATAAGTTTATTTTATTAAGTTTATTTTATGCAGAAGTTTATTAAAGATGTTTAATTAGCTACTGACAAGATTGTTTTCATTTAAATTTTAATTGTCAATAAATATTTAGAATAATAAATTTAATGTTTTATGTTTATATCCGAAGTTATTCTATGCGTACATAGGTGCCCTATTACATGTACGAAGCTATCTCGCTTGAAGGGTAGATTCGTACGATTTTCAAGTTTTGTAAAAATCATCTGCATTTAGTTATATATTAATTTATTATTTTAATTGCATGTTATTGTAGCTGGATATTTATACTATTTATTGATACAAACTTAAGTAGTGTAAAACCATTTAAACACAGTTTGGGAAGCAAAACTTCCAAAAGCGTACGAAGAATCCCCATCTCCCCCTATATATATGATCATAATTAAAAGATTAAATTTAAAAAAGTATTTTGTATTTCAAATAAGAACTTAAAAATATTTTGTATTTTATATTTCAAATTGAAAGATTGAAAGTATTTTGTATTTCAAATAAGAACTTAAAAATATTTTGTATTTTATATTTCAAATTGAAAGATTGAAAGTATTTTGTATTTCAAATTAGAACTTAAAAATATTTTGTATTTTGCATTTCAAATCGAAAGATTGAAAGTATTTTATATTTTGTAATTAAAAAACTAAGATTGCCAATATTTTGTATATTTTGTATTTTAAATACTTTAATGATGTATTTTGCCCAGCCCTGAGTAGGTATAGGAAGCTCTGACATTCACACTGATATTTTGTACACTTTACCCTTTATAAGTTTATACCTGTGATATGTCGGCGCAATAATACAAATCGACTAGCACGTCCATCAAACGTATCTTACGAGCGCACATATCAGAATGAAGCATAAAACCGTGGTATTGAAGAAGGGCGCACAATTGCGCTTGCGCGAACTTCAATTCAGAAGTCATCCTGTAAGTATTTTTCTGTGGGAAATGCACATCCGTTAAATTTTCCGCGGCATCAAATCGCTCGATCGTTTAATCGTCTACACTTTTCCGTTGAACGGACACGTGTTAAAATTCTGTGTTTCTCACGGTGGTATTTTCTTTATACCCCGTCTTATGTTCATGCTAAATTAGGCAATTTTATGTTGTCACTTACGCCAGAGAAATAAAAATTCTAAAATACTCTGTCGGATTCTTCACGAGAGGTGAGACACGCTATTCTTCATCGACTCTTTTGCAGTCAAACTCCAACGGGTTTCTCGTAGAGTGATGATCTGTGACGTGACCCGGAATTTTAGCGTGACTCGATTTATTTTTCTCACGCTCGGCCTATGGCCTTATCGGCGTACGAAACTAGCTCGACTTCAGATAGTTTTGTGTCTTGGTATCCTGATTAGCAGTTTTGTGTACCAAGTATGTATCCATATTTTCAATTCGTATATTTCTTGTGGTATGGTAATTGCGAGGGATCAACCGCTATGGGAATCGGTGTACATTTTTTAGGAATTTATTGCTACATGGAAAGAACGATTTTGTTGAAAAGTCTAAAAATTTTGCTAAATACAGATCTGAAAATTTTTTTTTGTTAAATCATCAAAATAATTTGTTAGAATGTTGAAACTGATAAGCATTGCTATAAAACGTTTTATTATTCTAGCAATTATTTTCACTTTCGTACAAAAGTATTTTGATTATTGAACAAAAATTATTTTTAGATCTGGATTCAGCAAAATTATTCTTTTTGTGTATTGCGGCAATACAATACTAGCAATACGCTATCATCAATACATAGCAATACTTTGAGCAATACCTAGCAATATATTAGCAACATTGGCAATATTGTGTAATGGGTATGGCAGTACATGAAGTAATAGATGACAATATTACTGACAATACGAAAGGAATACAATAGCAATACTAGCAATAAAGTATGTTGTATTGTCATAATTGGCAATCACTATACATTTTTTTAGTAGTGGTTCACTCCTCGGGTAATTGTTTACGCAATATTAATTTTAAAAATATAACTGTTATAATTTTTATTAATAATTATAGTAGTGGTTCACCCTCCGGGTAATTGTTTACGCAATATTAATTTTAAAAATATAACTATGTTATAATTTTTATTAATAATGTGTAATACAAGTTAATATGCATATTGCGTTGTAATAAGAAAAGCCTGCTGATTGGGCTATTACGTATGGCCAATTGATTATTTCATATTTTTCAATTTACTGCGTTCAGTGAGGCATAAACTTTTTTAATGGTATTTAATAACAAAAATTTTTATTAATTATAGTTTGCAGTATTTCTTTCTACAGACTATACTGTCAATCTTATGCTCAAGGTTCTCTCTTTGTCGTGTGTACTCTTAATGTATCTGATTGAATATAATGCTTGCCTATTTAACTATCATAATGTAAGTTAGCCTTTTACTAAGTGTTACCGATAAATCAATTCTTTCACAAATTTACAAGGGAGCAAATGTTGAAAACTATTTTTGATTCAATAGATGAAAAGGTCATTGGAACAACTTCAGGATGTTTGTAACGAGCTTCAAGACGAAATTGAAATTGAGATTATGAGGAAGTATGGAGAAAACGGTAGACGTTACTCACTTAAACTTCTACGTAAGAATATTCATTGCTATTTTCGTACATGTTATAAAGTGAAGTATTAAAAAAAATTAAATTATTACATTAATTTTACTAACTACGTGAGCATTTAATAAAAAAATATTCGTATGTTATGTTTTTAATATAATGTAAAATTTAATTATACATAATGTATAATAAGAATTTCTACGCAATACGTATATATTTTATTGTAAACATATTAAAAATATAACAAATTTAGTTGATACAAAATTAAACAATTTACAGCTACTACTTTACATTAATGCAAGAAAAAATTGTAAAAAGGCAATGTACTTTAAAACATACAAAAATAATTTTTTTTAAGACTATTAAACACCGATTTAATTAAATAATTAGCTTTTTAAAATGTTTTTAGTATTTCAACTTTTCAATATGTTTTCTATTTCTTCATTACCATTTATGCTGTACATTTTTGATGTTGTTCTGTTCACGAATGAGTATCATCCAAGTAGTGTGATACGGATGCTATTACCTAAATATCTCGTCGGCCGAGAGAATTATTACTATCTAGTTTTGCTATATATGCTCCTAGCAAGTGGCATTGGAGGGACAGCAGCGATAGCAACAGGAATGTTGTGGATAGTATATCTCAAACATATTTGTGGAATGTTGAGAATTGCCAGGTGAAAACATATATGTATATAAGAATGAATATAGAAATTTTGATTACAAACAAAATTTTTGTTGTTATTTAAAACAAATTTATATGCATAAAAGGAAATTAGCTGTTGCAAGAAAATTGCTACACAGCGTATTGCATATTAGAGATTTGCGAAATTACTAAACTGCGCGCGTGTGCGCGTGTGCGCGTGTGCATGAGAGAGAGAGAGAGAGAGAGAGAGAGAGAGAGAGAGAGAGAGAGAGAGAGAGAGAGAGAGAGTGAGAGAGGGAGGGGGAGAATAAGAAATATGTATACGATCATTGTTTTATAAATTTAATCGTACATTAAAAGAATTAAATCCTCTCTTTAAAAAATTGGTTATTATTTTTAAGCGAATATGGTCTAAACTCTAAAGTAAAAGATGGAAAACAATTATTTTAATAAAAATTGCATGGTTTTAAGAATATTTTGTACAAATGATAAAAATTATTTTAGTTTTATAAACATTTTTGAAATAAAAAATTAAAACAATTTTGTTTTAATTATTATTATAAAATACTATTCAAATTATTTAATTTTTATGGACAATATTTGTTTCGAAAGAAAATAATTAATTTTTTTTTAAGATAGGGTTTCTTCTTCTTAATGAACATTTATAAAAAAGTACGTGTTTTTTATTTATGTCTATATTTTAACACATTTAAAGCTTATAAAAATTGGAGGACAAATTTGGGTTTTCTTCTTCTAAGTTTCTAATTGTTCTAATCTTTAGTATAGCAATCGATAAAATATATTATAACCTTACAAAGTACGATATATAAATAAATTTTTTCAAATATAATTATAGTAATAATATTCTTTAGTTATCGTATTGAAAAGGCAATGGCGATAAATACGTTGAATAATGCTAGCTTGAAGAATGAGAGTATAATATGTAAGGAAATAATTCAAGCCGTTGATATTCATCAGAAAGCTGTCAAGTTAGTATTTACGTGATATCACAAATACATGTATTTACAATAACACAAATACATATTAATAAATTAATAAATTAATAAATTAATATTTTCTCTTTGTTGAAGGTCCATGATGAGTTTCTCGTCCAGTTTCGGACAGTCGCGTTTTGTCTTACTAGTACTTTCTGTAATTGCTTTGAGCATCAATCTTTACGAAGTTTGTTCATTATTATCTTTGTTTATGTATATTTTCACATAAGTAATGTTTACACAAATTGAAAGAAACTGTTTATGTCCCATTCTTTGAACTTATAATTTTTGTTTTAATAAAATCATATCATCAAATTGTACGAGAAAATATTTATCCCACGACATTGTCTTTCAGATTTCAGAAGCTATGTTGCTTGAAGACAGCACTCAAGATTTGTTCATGCACTCTGTAATTGTATTCGCCATTTTTATTTTTTTGTTTTTATCAAACTATGCTGGGCAAGATTTTACGGATCACAATAACCACATATTTTCCACCGTGTAAGAGATACAATACGTGTTTGCAAATATGTTCATATTAATTAATTTTTTACTTATACCATTATAATTGAGATTAAGGCGATGCTGTAAGGATGGCCGAACGCCACTGTTTTACCAACAATTTATATATGGGTGTGATATTGATGTAGTGTAATGATGTATTGATATTCACTACTACGTCAATCTCGCACGCATCATACAAATAATATTTTCAGAATCATCTTTCTTTTATATTTAAGCACCTACGCTTATTAGTAAAAGCATAGTAAGGGAAGAGGGGGGG